GAGTTTGTCTAGTGGAAACCAAGAGTTAGTGAAACTCAACTAGACAACATATCGGGAAGATATTTGGATTTTCTAGGGATACCAAGGGTGGAGAAGAATAATGCACAATGAAGAGTGGGTGAAACTCGGTTCTAGTCAAAGTAACGGTGGTTACTTGGAGTGACTAGGGATACAAAGAGCAGTGAGAATACTCAGTTGTAATCTTGTTGAAGATTATAGTGAACCCTTTAAGGTGTTAGAGGAGACTGGACGTAGCTCGGTGGAGCGAACCAGTGTAAAAACAACTGTGTCATACAAAAGTGAGAATACTCAATTGTAATCTTGTTGAAGATTATTCCTAAACGCTTCTCTTATAAATCTTGCAGTTGCATATTACTTTAACCGTTAAAAAAGCTTTTGTCATTAAACACCTTTTATTAAGAGCTAGTTTTATCAAAACACTGCAGAAAACTTATTTAAACAATTGAAAAATATTTGCTTAAAGAGCCTATAGTTTGAATTGAATTTTCAAGTCGAGTGTTTAATAACTTACGTAAACTTTTCAGTCCTCGACAAAGTTGTTAAACTTATCTCCTTCACAAAAAGTTTTCCTATAACACTATTCAACCCCCTTCTAGTGTTTTTCCAGGTACTTCAACAAGATCATCTAAAAAGAATAGACTATCTAGCATCTCAAATTTTGAAGTTTAACAAACAACATTTAATGAAATATTGTTTAGAGAATATAACGTCTGGACAATGTACACATCAGAACATTCTTATTGAATGCTTGCAAGACAAACCATGATGTGTCAAGTATAAAAGATTAAACTACATTGTGCATAAGCACATCTAGTGAAAGAAGCCATAAGCCCTATATATCTTATCAATTGTCACTACTTGAAAAAGCTCAGACTTGCACTAAACGCTTATTTTACAAAACATGCTTCAACACTCTATCAACGTATAGATAATTAAATGTATGTACATATTATACCTTGTCTGCTTTGCTTTTTCCCTCTTTATTTGTATAGATATTGACAGTACTAAGATATACTCAAAAGCATTATACGAGGATTAGAAAGAAGTTGTGGTATATGAAGACATTCTTAGAATGTTTCCTAAAACTTTATGTCCTACCATAGCCGTTCAAATTCTAACTGTGAAAGCAATGCTGCTTTTCCCAAGCTGCAAAAACGTACATATCTTTGTACGATAAGCCACCTTATATCAAGAAGGGTTAAATATGTTTTTAGTCCCTAAACTATCAAGCGAATTTGTTTTAAGTCCCTCTTTCAAACTTTGGTACACTTTGATCCTTCTCCTTAAGGAAACCATAATTTTTCGTCCTCCAAAACTAACGGCGTTAAAAAGAAGCTGAGGTGGCTAACGTCTGACCACGCCACTTCTCATTTTTCTTAAACATGTCAATCCTTTCTCTTCTTACCCCCTCTGCTATTTGTTTCTTCAATAGTTGTAGCTCTGATGGCCATAAAGGGTGACTTGACTGATCCTCACAACGTTTTAGAAAATTAAGATTCTAGTTTTGCTGATCCATGTAACTGGAGAATGGTTACGTGTTCCTATGATGGCTCTGTTTCTGCATTACCGTGGCAGTGCTGGCATTAGAATGTCAAGAGCTTGCTTGACCAACATTTTATTTTCCGGTTGGCAAGTCTTGAGAAGAGCAACAAAAACCTGGAGTATTATTTTTTCAAGGGCTTGATATGCCTCCAAGAAATGGCAAACATTCACAAATGCCCATTATTTGCTGGCTGTGTATTCTCGCTTAAGATGATTCCACCCAAACTATATCAGTTCCTTCCTATGATGGACAAGATCATTTTGAAGATATTTAAGAAGCAAGGTAGCATGCCAAGTTGCTCTAGATGTATGCAAGAAATTGCTCTTTCCAGAACGCATGCCATCTGTTCGACACAATGCCTTTTAGAAATTTGCACTCATGGGTTGCACTCTTGCGTGTCTATTGAAATTCGAAGCTCTTTGAATGAAAACCTTTTTAAATGACCAAGACGCACCTTTAGATCATAATGTTCTATCAAATAACAAACACACACAGGTTCAAATTAAACATCAGAGAAAGAGAATGAAATAAAAGCTCTTGGATGCACAATATCTTGCAGTGGAATAATTTTTGAGACACTGAAAACTGAAATGACTTGGGGTATTAATTACTCGGTCGGTCACGAATTAGGTTACACCCGACATAGGCCATGTATGATTGCCATCTCTACAACTTCAACCCTATAATAAATGTAATTTTTTTAGGACACAAGCATCTACCTCTATTGCCTAGAGAACCCATTTATGTTACTTAAATTTTTGTATGCATTAGACAATATTATATTATGCATAGAATAGAAGGGTAAAGAAAGATCCTGTCAACAGTGCATTATGGTGCATACGTGTAGTGGTATCTAGTCGTGCTCATCAATCAAAGGCACCAACTTTATTCTTGTGGGATCTCTTTGTCTCTCAAAGCTAGAGACGTGTACTTACAAGAAGTTGAAAAGGGAAAACACATCAACCGCACCAAGTGCGAAAGCCCAAGTTCCATTCCATCCACCTTAACTTTCCATGGCAATTAACTTATGTCTCTACTTACACTTACCCTTAATTTTTGTTTTCTTCTTTCTTTTCTCTCTTGTTTCTTTCTGCTATGGATATATACTATTCTTTTTGCTTCTTTCTATGGACATCCATCAGACTCACTTTTTCTTTTAAGAGAATCCCTGTCCTATGTGCTTGTCTACAATATTCACATTTTCACACTCACATCTTCTCTTTCATTCTCCAAGAACCCCAATGATCATTACTTTCATTCTTTCATTAATTAAATATACCAGATCCTTCTCCTCCCACTCCTTCACAATCTCATTGGTTGAAATTCGTCGAACCTTCTCCGATCTGGTGCCCCTCCTCGCCATTTCCAGAGTCAAAATGGAAGCTTAGTGGCGGCAGGTGCGATGGATTGGGGAAAATTAAAATAAAACAAAAACCTTTTTTTTTATAAGAGCTTGAAATTGGAACCCCAATGAAATGTTTTGGGTCATTAGGATTTAGGATTGGAATCAAAAGGCCTTGCTTGTAGCAGACACCGTGAAGGAGCCCCTTGTAGCGTCTGAGGCGTCATCCTTGTCGATTGTGGACGAGAGAATAGTGGTGAAGACCCAGAAGAAACAGTGGACAGTCGTCTAGGTGGTGTCGCCAAACTGTTCTCACTTTGCATTAAAAAAATACCAACATGGTAAAGGTTACAAATGAAAGATGTCATCACACGTGGCCAAACGTAAGCCACCTCATCTTTTTTTTTAACGCCGTTGGTTTTGGAGGATGAAAATTTATAGTTTCTTTAAGGAGAAGGATCCAAGTGTACCAAAGTTTGAAAGAGGGACTAAAAACAAATTTGCTTGATAGTTTGGGGACTAAAAACATATTTAACCCTATCAAGAAAGTCAATTATATCTGAGTAATAGTCATCTCTCAAGAAGGTTATAAAATGAGGACTCACACAAGAGAATACAAGAACTTTTGCTATTATTGTATCGTTACACCGTTGTTCTCTCAATAAACTTACATCGTGTAAGTTTGTTCATAGAACAAAAGAAAGAACTTCACAAGTTCTTACTTTCGTTGTATTGTATTTATAATCTCATTGAGAGTTATTAGAATCTGTACTTGTAAACCAACACTGATTGTGTTTGGAAATTCTGAAGAGAATTCAAACTCTTGTATTGTTTAGCTCAAGAAGCTAAACGTTCTAGACATCTGTCTAGGGTTGATACCATGAGTGATTAGAATACTTGAAAATACAAGGAGTGGTTAAACTCGAACTAGTCAGGATTGATTAAGGGATCATGAGTGGTTAAAATACTCGGTGTATACCAGGAATAGTTTGTACTCGATTGTAATATTGGATAAGATTAGTAAAAACTCTAAAGAATTTTTAAGGATGACTAAATGTAGCTGAAGACTGAGTAAATCAATGTAAAATACTTATGTTATTGTTTTTTCTACTTAAAACATGTTTCTTAAATACTTTATTTAAAAACACACGTCAAACAATTATTGGAGACCATAACCCTACAACAATTATTAAATTAAATGTTAATTTGTGAAAACTTTTAAAATACTGTTGTTAAAATCTATCTTTCTAATATTTCCCTATAATTTCATAATACCATTTAGAAAGATAACTACCTAGTATATGGAACTAGACTTCCAAATTTTGACACAATATATTTAACCTTGTGAAAACACTTAATATTTATTATTTAAACAAAAGTAACTTTTTAAAGAATAGAACACTTAGAAAATAGCATAAAAATAAATGAATTGTCATACAAAAATAAAATAAAGCATATCAATAACACAAATTCACCAAAATTGTTTTTTCTTCATCGGTGTACCATAGTCTACTTTTGGGATTCTTATCCTACTATCACGACTACGCTTATGAAATTAACAACGGTGCCCCTCTAATTGATCACCGTTGAAGATGCCACGTGACATCTCCACTCGATGCCCCATTCAATCAAACTGCGACAGAAAATCACAAACAAACTTGATTTCTTATCACTTGCCGAAACTAGAATCCAATAACTCCTCTTCAATTATATATATATTTAAGTTAAATTATAATATTTTAAATAGATAACCATCTTATATATACACTATATAAATTTAAGTCAGAAAATAATATTGAGAAAACAATAAAATATAATTTGCTTGAAACAAAGAAAACGTATTTATACTATAGAACAATAATACATATAATTATTATTCATGGATGACTAATTTAATTTTACAGTTCGTTTTTGTTATTACAGAATAATCCAATCTTAATTTTAAAATTTTTAATATTCTTTTTAATTTGATATACAACAAATTTAATTGAACGAGAAAAATAGAAAAGAAACATACCGACAGTAATGGACACGTGTGTAATTAGTTTCATGAATAAGCAGTTTACTCATTTTTATATTGCACAGGAAAGAAGATGAGGTATGTTTTTTTATCCGTTACAGTTCCTTTACTTCCCCATCTCTCTCACTTTCACCGTTACCTCTCATCGCACACAACCAAAGAGAACGAACCAAAAGCACCGCGAATTGCAATTAGGGTTTATACTCCGTTACCTTTCGCGGTTTTTGCGAGATTGAGGATTCGATGATGATGGAAGGAGCTAGCAATGGAGGGATGATGTACCACGAGGTGCAGGAGTCGAAGCTGTGTGCGGTGCATTGTGTGAACACCGTTTTGCAGGGTCCGTTCTTCTCGGAGTTCGATTTGGCCGCGCTCGCCTCTGATCTCGATCGCAAGGAGCGCCAGGTCATGCTGCCCGCACTCTCCTCTTCCGATTTCGAATCGCACAATGTGTCGCTCGACGGCGATTTCAGCATCCAGGTTCGGTTAGGGTTTCTCTTTCCCTAATTTTTGTTTTCGCCTTTTTCGCCGTGGACTGTTGACGTGTTCGTGAGAATGTGATGTGCTTATAGTCGTTTTTGTTTTGGAAGTTTCTAGTTGCTTGGATTTTAGTTTAATATAAGCGGTTTGTAATTTCTTTTTATTATTTGAGGATTTTTGGGGCTTTTGTGGACCTAGATTTTCCTTCAGTTGTTCAATACAAGCTTATAGACTGTGGCACATGGTTGAATATATTTCTATTTCGCTGGAGTTGACTTCTTTAATTTATAAATGGTTATGATACTTTTAGTTTATAAGGATGTCTTGAGCTTGATTTGTGCATACCTTGTTTTTCATAGGATGGCCTTGTGCTGTGTGGTGGATTTTGCAAGTGTAGTTTGACTGATTGAATATTTCTCACGTACTTATTTTACTAGATGTTTGTCTATCGAAGGAAGTTCTTTGCATTGACATGTATGAATGGCAGGGAGGTGGGGGCGGAGAGTTAGATGTAATATATCTTTAAAACTTTGGATTGTTTGACTAAGCATGTTTCATTAAATAATTACTCCTTTTACATTGTTTCAAGCGTTGTTGACTAGTCACAATAGCATTTTGCATACCGAAATGTCTTGGATCCATGATTGCAACTCTTTATGCTATTGCTGCCACTATCATTGTTGTGGTTGCGGAATGGATCCTGCATCCTTGTCATCTCTTTCAACTCTTTAGCCAATTGAACTTCTAAATTAGTATAATGTCATTTTTATGCATTTTTTTGTTTGCGGACTTCTTTTATTTTGTGTATACATATAGGAGGCTCTAGCACACCATGTCGTGTGGTCCAAAACCTCACTAACACAAGCAGTCTTGACATGCCTCTAACACATGTTAGATATACCGATACAGTAGTTGAATAAAGCTATATTGTTTAAGCGATAATGCAGAATGAGCATGGCTCCAACATGGGCCAAGATATTCAGTTGATGAACATCAGTATATGTCGGAAGTTTTACATTGACTAGAGATAATGTTATATATATGTGACCTATTCTAGCTAGATTTTTGTTTGTTGAGCATATCATTCAACTCGCTATCATGCTGCTTCAGACCACTCATTAGTGTCTAGACCACTCATTAGTGTCTAGTCATACATACGAGATATATATACCTTGGTGTGAGGGGTTGTGTTGGAAATCTCATATCGACTAGAGATAAGACTCATTTAGAGTATATACATGGGTGCAATAGTCACCTTACAAACCAATTTTGTAAGGTTGTGTTCGGCTTAAAATCCACTTCAATATAGTATACACAATCAAATCATGGTTTCTAATTTGTCACTTGATGAACCGGACTAGAGACTGTTTTTCTATAGTGATGATGATCAAGGAGGTCACCAACTTTAGACTTGATCTTCTACTTTGCATCAACCAACATAATGTTTCTCCTGTTGTACTTTTGTGAGACTCATTATTATAGGACCTAGCTAGTTGTTTTGTTTTATTCCTCTTATCCTAGTATTTTTTTTGGAGAAGGTCATCATTATATGAAAATTGTAAAACTTGTCTATTTTAAAGAGGTAAAATATAATTCTCCATTCAAATCTCAATGAGTATGTATGTGTGTGTAGTGTCATGGTATCGTATATTTTTAGAAATTACCCAAGGCCTTGTATTGATGTCAGTATTGTGTCGGATTTGGAGCCTCATTGTATTTAATTGATATATAATATATCAAATTCTTCGCATTTTGCTTTCTTTGCAACCTTAATTGGTTGCATTGGTTTTGACATGGCACTTAGGAGATTCATCTAAATTATAATTTAGGATCATGATATAAACCTCAACAAGGATTTCACTGCAATTGTATTATATGATAAAAAAGGGAAGCTGCTGGAACTGTTGCAACAAATGGAAAAGATAAGCAAGAGCCTTTGGCTCCTACATGGAGAGATACTCTCCTAACCATCTCAATACAATATTCCTCTTCCCTCTTTACTCCCCTACTGACTGATTAAATCAAGCTGTAAAATAGTGTATGCTCTATTCTTCCACTCGACAAACCTTTTTTTGTTTGTCCCACCTTAGAAATCACTCTACTAGTGCAACACATTTTTCTATTGGAGTTTCCGCATTGACTATATGTAAGATCAATTTATAGTATATAAATGGGTGCAAACCTCACTTTACGTGTTGGTTTTGTAATATATAAGATCAATTTATAGTATATAATGGGGCTAGCCCAATTTTTGAGGTTTATGCATTAAACATTCAGAAAACACAACATTGAAAGATGCAATTAAGTTTCTGCAGTTTCCATCTCTTTTCCCAGCCGTTGCTGCATAATCTCTTCCACTTGCTACTGCTTATCTCTTTATCCACTCCGCTTTTTTGCCATCATCGTTCTGCTGCCGCCAACCACCATGCAAAAAGCGGCTGCCATGGGCTGCCATGAAAAACCCACTTCACCATGGTTTTGTTGTGGTGGCAGGTTGGGAAACTACAACAGGTTTCTGCCATGGCCAAAATCGATAACACTGGTGAGAAGTGTTGTGTCTTGTTTGGCAAGAGAAAAAAAGTGATAGCAAGGAAAAGCTAAGTTTTTTCTTTCCTCTTGTTTTATTGCATGGAAAATGGAAGGAAAGAAATAACTGTACAATTGAATAAATGTCCCAAATAATAATTGAAATATTGTAATTAATCTCTTAAAAAAGGTATATTTATGAATAGTTTATTATTATTATTGTTATTATTATTATTATCATCATTTTGAGATGTGAATGTGAATATGTTTGGTTGAGATGTATACTTTGAAGATACACGGTTTGAGTGACATGGGTAATTTGGTCTTTGATAGCATTCTCTCACTTTATTATGTTTATCCCTCACCTTCCATCAATTGTCGACGAGGTGCTTTTGACATGGGACCTAAATGAACCATTCTTTCCTCTCTCTTTAATGATGCAACCAAACCGTGGAAGGATACCAAATTTAATTCTTTTGTTTCCATCCTTGATCGTTCCATATGCTATCCTTTAAAATAAAGATATCTTTAATCAAATAGGAATGGGATTCTAATATTTATAGAACTTATGACAATGGTTGAAAGTTAAAGTAGACAAAGATTGGTGTGAGTTTTTATTGGCAAAGAGATCAAGAGATGACTTAAAACATATACAGTGTCAAATCCTGTTGAATGTTGGTTTTTGTCAATGGCTTTGAAGAAGTAGGAATGGAGTGAGGCATGTCTTTTTGTGGTTTTGGGTTGAGCACAACTTTACTTCCTAGATCCATGGTGATTTTTAGTGTTGGCAAAGAATTGGAGTTGATATAATGATAGGTACCCAGATTTTATTAACACTGTAAAGAACTCCAAGACAGGTTCTTGGATGATCTCTTAGGAAAACCAGGGGCAACTTGGTCTGTGTCTAATGACTGAGAAGACACAACAAAAGTCCAGGTCTTTCGAGAGGACCTGTCTCTCCCTTCCTTACACTTACAATCTTCTCAAAAACTGTTGAAAACAACCATATAGACTATATATAGTAGTCTATTTACAACAACCCACCCTACAGACAGTTATAATTTCTTGTTATCCTTATAATTGCTTGTTATCCTTGTTCCTTCTAACATACACTTTCCTCCTAAACCTATCAATACCCCTCCATGAAGTTTTACCTTGTCCTCAAGGTGAAAAGCAAGAAACTCAGTGTTGATGGTTGTACCAGCTTCCCAACTGTTTTCAATGGATGGGAGGTGTTGTGTTAGGGAACTAATTGTATATAGTAGAAGGAGAAACGTTACCCAGCCTAACTGCCAAGGCAGTTAGGAAAGTCAGTATAAAAGGGGTGGGTTGGTTGGTGAGAGAAAAGTTTTGGAGTATTATTGTTTTGCGGGAACTCTTGTAGTTCTTTGGAGGGAGGTTAAGCTCTCGGTCACACAGTGTATTTTGTATTCTTGATTCTTTGGTAATACAAGGAGGTTATTCAGTGTTGAGTGGGTGTTTGACGTGGGTGATACTGGGTTTCTATAGGTTCTTGATTAAAAGAACCTATCATTTGGTCCGACCTGCCGGATCCGATAGGAGGAGAACCAGCGATGAATAGCCAAACAGAGGGAAGATTAGATAATCTTGAGATTACGGTGGAAGGAATTAAGGAGGAGACGGCTGCGATCAGGCGTGACCTACAACAAATGATGAGGTTGATGGGTGGAGGTCAGAATAATCAGGGGGGTGGCACGGAAGGGAGTAGCAACTCGGTGAATGATAACCCCGAAAGACGCGACTATGGAGGAATACCACAGAACTGGCGGAAAAGGGTGGAGTTGCCATCGTTTGAAGGGGTAGAGCCGCATAGTTGGATTAACAGAGCGGAAAGGTTCTTTGACATCCAGAGGGTGGCTGAGGAGGATAAGGTTGAACTCGCCTACATTAGCATGGAAGGGAGCGCGAGTTACTGGTTCAAATATTGGAGGGAAAAAACCAAGAATCGTTCGTGGTTAGGATTGAAAGCGGGGCTGATCAACCGCTTCGGAGGTGGGTTTCGGGGCACTGTTTACGAACAGATGGCAACGTTGAGGCAAGATGGTACAGTGGAGGATTACGTAAGGAGCTTTGAGACACTGTTGGGTCAGACCCAAGGGCTATCGGAGGAGCTGATATTGGGATTCTTCCTAGCGGGGTTACGAGAAGAGATCAAAGGCCAAGTACGAATCCAAGATCCTCCAGATTTGATGATTGCGATAAGGGTAGCGAGGGATGTTGAAGACGCTCTGAATCGAGCGTGCGGTGGAGTCTGGAACGGGGTGAAAGTGAATTCCATGAGCACGCGAGCCGCTTCGACGATCGTTAGAAGCGACGGTGATCGTAATTTCACGACGCGGACAGGTGGGGCAGAGGGAGTAGGTACGACCCGAAGGGAGGGGTCATCAACGGCGAGTAACGCCCATGCGATAGGTAATACCACATCGGAAGGCGATAACAGGGAAAGAATGATC